ATTTGTTGTGTGATTTAATTACTCTTTTTTGTCAAAAAATCTGATTGGCTTAATTATATTTTTTTTTATTTTTTTTTAAAAAAATCACCATCATCATCATCATCATCATCACCACCACCACCACCACCACCACCACCACCACCACCACCACCACCACCACCACCACCACCACCACCACCACCACCACCACCACCACCACCACCACCTCCACCTCCATCACCATCACCATCACCATCACCATCATCATCATCATCATCATCATCATCATCATCATCATCATCATCATCATCATCATCTTCACCATCATCACCATCACCATCATCATCATCACCATCATCATCATCATCATCATCACCATCATCATCATCACCATCATCATCATCATCACCATCATCATCACCATCATCATCATCACCATCATCATCACCATCATCATCATCACCATCATCATCATCATCATCATCATCATCATCATCATCATCATCATACCGTTAGGTCATTTTACATGTTAATCTAAACAGCTAATTTTTTCAAATATCTTTTTACCAACCGTTGATATAATTCGCTGGTCAAATCCGCTAACGCTAACCGCTAACTGCTGATTGTCAAACAAGGGCATTGCGAAGTAGTTCTCACTTTTTGTTGTGTGATTTGAATACTCTCTTTGTCAACAAATCACTCAAGTAGTTAATATGATTGGCTTTATTAATTATATTTTTTTAATTTTTTCATGATATTAATAAAATACTCGATAAATAAATATATAGCATTATTTTGTATTATAACTTTGATATTTAATTAAAAAATAGTGCACAAAAAAAATAGACAATGTAGTGAATATAATCAATTTGATGAATTTGAATGTAAAAAATTTTTACATTGGAGAAATATAAAGACAATATAACTAATAAAATTATTTCTCTTAATTAATTTATTGATAATGATTTTTTTTAATAAAGACATTGTAAGGATAATGTAGCTAATATAATCAATTGATGAAATTGAATGTAAAGAATTTTTATATTGGAGAAAAATAAAGACAATATAACTAATGAAATTATTTCTCTTATTTAATTTATTGATAATGAATAATTTTTTTTGAATAAAGACATTGTAGACACATAATTTTAAATTAAAAAAATGCATATGTATTATATTTTTGTTGTAGCTACTAAATTATTATTTAATAATTTAATAAAAGTATAATAGAGTACTAATTATGTGAACTTTGATTGGGATGAGGTTCGAACCTAAGACCTTTCTTATTAAAATCAATGAGTAAGTTAACGGTGAACTAATAGAAATTAACGGAAAAGATAATATTTAACGGAAAAGTTAACGAAAAATCATATTCATTAAGGATAAATTAGGAAATCTTAAGAAAAAATTAAAATCTAATCAATCTGAGCCATTCATTTGATTAAAAAATTTGACCGCCATTTTTTCTACCGAGGCCTAACTCTCTTGGGCTCTTATTATAAATTAGAATTAGGAAATTTTAAGGAAAAATTAAAATCTGATCAATCTTAGCCATTCATTTGATTAAAAAATTTGACCGCCATTTTTTAATTTCTACCCATTATAGGCCTAAATCTCTTAGGCTCTTATTAGTATAGTAGAAATAAATTGGTAATTACAACAAAAAAAAGCATTTAATTAATTTAAAATTAGATGTGTATAATGTCTTTATTAAAGAAAAAAACTATTCATTATAAAAAGTTTAAACAAAAATATAATTTCATTAGTTATATTATCTTTATTTTATAAAATTCAAAGATTCCTTACTTTCAAATTCATTAATTAATTATATTCACTACATTGTTCATTGTCTTCTTTTTACATTACCTTGTAATTAAATATCAAAGTTATAATACAAAATATGTTATATATTTATTTACCAAGTATATTTTATATCTACTATCTACTAATAAGAGCCCAAGAGAATTAGGCCTATAATGGGTAGAAAAAATGGCGGTCAAATTTGTTAATCAAATGAATGGCTCAGATTGATTTTTTTAAACAAATGAATGGCTCAGATTGATTAGATTTTAATTTTTCTTTGAGATTTACTAATTTATCCTTAATTTTATAACAATAATAATAATAATAATAATAATAATAATAATAATAATAATAATAATAATAATAATAATAATAAATATTGGGCATTATCCCAATCGCGCAATGCGCGTAAAAAAACTAGTAAATATAATAAATATTAATATTTTGTTCAATACTGTCACATGATAATCTATGACACACATCTCACAACACATGAAACATGTAAGAAAAAATTACCACTACCAAATATCAATAAGCGCGGGTAAGATAAAGAGTTCATAGTACAACTAAAATCTCAGTCATATACACAACAAGGCAAATCTAACTTCATACACCATAATCTCATTGCATGATGATGCTCTCTATGCTACCACCAGTAACCCAATAGCACATGACACACTACAAATAAAAAAAATTTGAAGAAGAAGACAATGACAATGCTATCCAACAGAGAATTAAGATGACTTAAAGAAATTTAAACCAAAAGTAATATTTATTTAGACTACCGCTTTTAGACTAAGTATGTAGACTAACATAGTACAAAGTTGCAAATATTTATTTTAGTGACAATTATAATCATTCTCTCATATATTATCTTCAATTTAAATAAACAAATTCAACATTCAATAATTATATATACATGAACATCTCATATATAATATTGCATTGATAAACTTTGAAGTACTTATTTAAAAATAATTATTCGACATTATCACATTCGTGTAATGCGCGTAAAAAAGACTAGTATTTTTAATATATTTTAACATATTCATAGTATATGTTTATTTAATAATTATACTAACTCTAATTGGATGAAATTGGAACCTAAGACCTTTCTTATAGAAATTAATGAGTAAGTTAAAAATAATAAATAATTAACGGAATATTTCATTACTAAATTTATACTAAGAGAATTTATGGTTACTCAAGGGAAGAAAATAATATAATAGATGGTAAATAAGGAAAATCATAAAAAATATTAAAATCAAAATAATATGAATCATTTATTTTAAGAAATAATTATATCAACATTTTTTTTTTTGTTTTTTGTTTTTTTTTTATTTTTTATTTTAGGGCTTAATATTATTGACTCTTATTAGATTTGTAGATGGTAGATAGATAGATGTAGATGTAAAATCACTTATTTGTTCACAAGGTTAGAAAATAGTTATGATCAGTCAAAAAACAGAAAAAGAAAAATTTCATTAAGTAAACGAGGTCCCACCAAAATGACCAAATCATCCTTTAGCCGCTTATCACCGTCGTCCAAAGCTAGCTGCCATAGCCGTCTAAATCTCGGCGACGGCTTCAGACATACACAGTACAGGGACAGGTAAGCGATGGCGCAACCTAGTAAAGAGCCCTGCAAGAAGCAGGCTTGTAATATTCAAGTTTGTCTCTCAAGAACATTTTTTTTCCACTTTCTTCCCAATCCCATATGATTCTGTCTCTTATTTAAAAAACAATGATTTGGTATCAAATGCATAAATTTTCTTCATAATGGTTATTGATTCTCTCTTCAATCATTTGCTTAACTTTTTCTTGTTAAATACTGTTCGTGTGTTCTTGATTTAACGAAATTATATTTTTCATCATTGTAATTGCTGTTCATTCATTGGAGAAAGTTAGGTTGAATTGGTTATATGTTTTTGAATTGATGGTAATCTATTTTTAAGCTCATAATCAGCTGGCATTTAGTCTAATTGTGATATGAGATTTTTGTGCATATAATTGTGGTATCAGTTTAGGCATACTGTCTAATTGTATCATATTTATTGAACTCGATCATATATATATATATATATATATATATATATATATAGCATTCAGCTTTCTTGTCTTTTTAAACATACCAAGTGCTGTGCTCAATTTTGTCATATACTATTGTCTCCGTGAACCTATTGATGATGGTTAACGACTCCTGTTGCCTTGATACAACACAAGACAATTGACAGTGTTCTAGCACGAGGAGAGGGAGAAGCTTGGTAGTTTGGTGCAGGCTTGCTGCACGAGTAATAATTTCATTCACCTGTACTTACAATGTATACCCTTTTATTACAATGCTTTGTAAATCTTACTTTATGAAATTGAGCAGATTCTCAATGACGGCGGCTTCTTTACATACCAGTGTGAGAATACCTATCAAGTCACGCCAATTCCTTTGAAAGTCCCCCCCCCCCCCCCCCCCCCCCCCCACATACACCCTTCTTTTAGATTGGCTACAATCTGCTGCTTCTCTGTTGCTGCACCCAGCAAATGCTACTCCATCACTCTCCTCCCCGGTGATGGTATCGGCCCTGAAGTCATCTCTGTTGCTAAGAGTGCTCTATAACTTGCTGGTTCTCTCGAAGGTACACAGAATTTCCTTTTTGACCAAAAAAAAAAAAAAAACAGAAGACGAATACCCAATTTCCCAACATAAATTGCAAATGATAGTTCCCGGTGCAGCCACTAGATTAAGTATTTCACATTCGTTCTTGTGTAGTTAACGTTAGGTTCAATTCATTATTGCATACATGCACCTTAAAAATATATAAACCTTGACAATAATAAATAAATAAATACTCAAGAGTTAAACCCACTTTGTTATTATGAATATTAAAATTTATGCATTTTTTTTTTCTGAGTAACAAAAAAAACTGGGTCTGCCTTTTTTTTTTTTTTTTTTTTTTTTTTTAAGGTCCTAGGGGATGATGTTCCAAAAAAAAAAAGGTCTTGGGGGATGAGGGTTAATGGTTGGAAAATGATTTGTTACCCTCCTTAATCCCTCCTGACATGGCTTATAACCATTAGGTGTCATGAATTGGTTGACCCCACTAACTTGTTATCAAAGACTAAACTATCTAAAGGAAAGGTGCTATGTCATGAGGGTAGATAGGAAGGGAAAACTTTGTGGGGGTGGGTAGCAGTCATAGCATTACAATTAATGGTTATATTGATTTGGAAATGTTGCAGGAATTGAGTTTGGGTTCAATGAGATGCCTATGGGTGGGGCTGCTATTGATTTGACAGGAGTGCCTTTGCCTGAGGAGACTCTTTCAGCCGCAAAGCAATCTGATGCTGTTCTTCTTGGAGCAATTGGAGGGTGAGAATTTTACACTTAAGTTTTATAGTTGTGTGCTATTATATCTGTACATGATTTATCTTTTTGATTCACTGAATGCTACAGTACTCTTATTATATAAAGGTATAAATGGGACAACAATGAAAAGCATTTGAAGCCTGAGACTGGATTGCTTCAACTTCGAGGGGGTCTTAAGGTTTTTGCAAACTTGAGACCTGCGTCAGTCCTGCCACAGGTAATTTTAATTTAGACTTAAAATATTGAGTTGTTAAGGTTACACTCTTATTCTATTGCAATGTACGGTGATGGTTTTTTTTTATCCCTTTGATGGGAAATAATTTAAAAACCCATAGGGTATGACTCTTTGGTGGTTATTGTTGGTGATAATGAACCAAAAATTGATTTAATATCCCTTAAAATAATATTTATATATATACACACGAAATATATATAAAATATTATTGGATATATATATCCGAAATATATATATACACACAAATATATATAAAACGGATCCAAAAGTTATATATACGTATATATCTACGAGAAAGATATAACAATATATATAAACCAAAAGGAACTTATAATCCTCAGATTATAACTCCAAGTCAACAAGAAAGAACGGATTTTTGCTTAGAGCATAATCCAAAAACAAGAAAGAAGGAGAGGAAGAAAGAAATGTACGAGTTAGGCAAGGTGCCTTTCTTTCCTTAAAACCTTATTTGCCACCTCCCAAAAGTGCTAGGAGCGTTGTGGCCTAGGTTTCCCAGGATAAAACGTACAATGGTTCGACGTTTGAGCACCCAAACGAGCGAACCCGGCGAACTAGAGCACGGGCAAAACACAGTAGCAAGAAAGAAGAAGTAGGAGCAAAGTTTTTGAGAAGGAAAAAAGCTTATCTTTGTGTGTTGTGTACTCTCGTGTTCTTCCCTCACTTGTTGTAAATCACTTGCTCCTACTACCTCTTCTTATATAGGAATTGGAGTACTAAATAGCATTTAGTAGGCATTCATGGTACGTTGGTAACATCTGAAACAGCTGGTCATTAGTGCAAGTTTAATTCAAAATTCAAAATGAATTAATACAGAGATTAATTCTTGTAACGGATGAATTAAATCTCCACTGTCCAAAAACAGCTCTGGTAGACCGAAGTGCTGTTCAGCCGCAGCGCACGAGAGCAACTCTCGTGCTGCATGCTCTCGGCCAGGCCGCAGCGCACGAGAGCAACTCTCGTGTTACTTGGTCTCGGCCAGCGCACACGAGAGCAACTCTCAGGTCGAGTCCAGGCTTTCAAGTGGCTTAGAGTTTGGAAAACTGATACCGAAAGTTGGCATAACTCAGCCCGCAAGGCCAACCAATTTCCGGACGATATTCGTGCCCGCAGGTGCCGGCGCACACGAGCTCGGGCTTGAATCAAGCCTTTTCGATCTCGTTTCTAGTTGGAATTTGATTTGCACCCCCCCCCCCCGCGCGCGAGAGAGCCTCTATGCTATACAATTCTACAAGCTTCAAAAGAGCCCTTGTATAAATGGGGGGTGAAATCCTCTTTCTAAACCAATGCGAGACAAAGCTCACTTTTCCCTTCATTTTTCCAACTCAATGGGTCTACTTTGAAAATCAATATCTCATTCACCCATTATCCGTTTTGAGCGTACAATATATCAATCTCTTCGTCTCACTACGAAGAACCCGAATCCACTTTGACCCGACCCAAATCGGAAGTGGACCCCACTGATAATTGTACCACAAAATAGCCACTTAATATGCCATTTTAAGTTATTTTTTCCAACAATCCCCCACATGAATGAAAAATTGATTTTCAGGGTATTTTTTTTTGAAATCGGAAACAACTGTGTTTAACGGTCGATCACTGTATAGGATAGGTAGGGATCACTATACCCTTTGAACCTTCCCTTGTAAAGACATGTTTACTCTACTGGCTGTACGGTAGAACGCGATGTCTTTGAACCGACTGCCGTTTGTGTAGACGATGACATATCTTACACAGGAACCTCCCAACCATGCTCCGTTCTCATGAGTGTGCCCATTTTGGTCGTGGGTCACCGTCCTGGTTCTGCAAGAGTTTGTGAAGAATTGTGCCCATCAATTCTCCTTTGAAGCGACCCTCACTTCTCTCTCACATAGGTAATTCTTTTCCGAGTATCCCGCATACTCACGCATGTCAACCGACATTCGAATCATTAAAGCATCAACATGCTAGCCTCGTGGGGGAGTCACTGTTTCTAACGAGGAGTGGTAGGGAGTCTGAGACCCCAACAGTGACACGTTCCGTTCCATAATTTAGTTGTCCCATAGGTGGCAGCTAGGTTGGGTGTCCACTATAGAACTTTTAGTCCAAGGACTTTAGACCCATTCCTCGTCCCAATTTCTCCACAACCATTTGCTTACCCTCGGGTTAGCGAGTTAGCGGCCGCTACGTTATCTTTTGACATCACGTAGTTAATCGAGATAACCCCGTTGTGAGAAATTGTTTAATGGTATTATGTCAACGACTTATAAGTCTAGACTTACCATTCCATGTCTAACTCTGTACTTAACAAATTTTGGCTCGACTATCGCAATGCACACAAATTGGAGGTACGAGTTCACCACTAGGAACATTCTCGAAATAATGGCATAGTCATTCGGCCTACTCGCTCGCGACACGAGTGTAAGGCTCTCAGCTTTGATCCCGTCGGATCTTAGCTATCACAAATTCATTTCGAGAATTTTCGTCCAACCGACTGCACTGGCCTACGTAAAGACGTAGCCTTTAATGGACTTAGTATCCTTTGGTATCCGTGCTATACTTTCCAAGTACAGCTAGATATCTCACGTAGTGCAGTCCAAAGTCACGAGCATACCTTAAGTATCTCATAATTCTCACTATTGCCTTCTAGTGCGTAACACTAGGGTTACTCGTATATCTATCGAGTTCATTAACCGCAAAGACAATATCCGGCCTAGTACAACCCATTAGATACAATTAAACTACCAATAATCTGAATGTGTTCTCCGTGAGAAGTACAATCTTCGTGATTATTGGCTAGTTGTACGTTAGTATCTAATGGTGTCCAAGCCACTTGATTAACATCCTTTACAAGGATTCAATCAACACAATGAGATTGGCTTACCACGAGACCTTACGGTCTTCTCACATGTTTAATCTCAAAGGTTAAATCTGCCAAACCCACACCTTTGATCTCATGTCAAATCTCAAATTTAACATGTTCTTGGTAGAATTGATCCGGTGATCGTTACTACCCACGTTGAGTTTATCGTGTATAGACAAATAGTGATAACCTCGTCTATCGTACGCATTACGTAGACATTTATCACATTTGTTTATACTAAACTCGTTACACATCATTGTATGATAAAAAAAAGAGTTAACATGTTCTTGGTAGAATTGATCCGGTGATCGTTACTACCCACGTTGAGTTTATCGTGTATAGACAAATAGTGATAACCTCGTCTATTGTACGCATTACGTAGACATTTATCACATTTGTTTATACTAAACTCGTGACACATCATTGTATGATAAAAAAAAAGAGTTAATACCATTTGAGGTCCTCCGAGTATAGTGGTTTTGTCACGTTTAGTCCTAAACTTTCAAATCGACCATTTGTGGTCCTTCGACTTTCATATTTAACCATTCGTGGTCCAAGTTAACCACCAATGGTCCTTCAACTATTAAATTTTAACCAACCATGGTCCTTTCAAGATGACTACCATTGGTTAAATTTCAAAACTTGAAGGACCGTGTGTGGTTAACTTGGACCACGAATGGTTAAATTTGAAAGTCGAAGGACTACAGATGGTCAATTTGAAAGTTTAGGACTAAACATGGCAAACCCACTATACTCGGAGGACCTTAGATGGTATTAACTCTAAAAAAAATTTACATGCCAAATACTAAGGCAATTGTTTCGAACCATACAATGATCTCACCAATTACACACTTTCTTTTCACATCGTGGAACCACAAACCCTCGGGTCGTTCCATGTCTACTAAGAAAGCGATATATCTATTTCGATAAACTTCCAAGTCTCGCAAAACGGCTATTGGCAAGTATCATCCTAATGGATTTCATTCTCATCACAAGAGAATATATATTGAAGTAATTGTGGCACTCGCGTCGCATGTAATCTAAAATTACAAGCCCGGCCATTTTAATTCAATATAACCAACCGGTTTTATCTTCCGACTAGTGATCCACTTAGGATCCCGAGGTTTTACAACCTGGAGGAAGAACAACCAGTTCCAAGTATGATTCTTTAAGATATAATCTACTTCACTCTCGGTAGCCTCTCTCGGGTTGGTCCACCTGTAGAAGTCAACACTTCTACATACGTTTGAGGCTCGTTTTCTAACAACCGTGTTAGAAAATCCAAATTTTTTTCTAGTACACAAGTTAGAATATGCGCGTCACATTCTAGCATGTACGTCAGAAATTTTGGACCAAAGGATTATTCAATCCTAGCTCTCTTGCTACGTCTAGCTTTGAGCTCGGGTTCTATTTCATACCCTCCAACCATAGCTACGCCGAAAGTTCCTTTCAACGTGCTAGGTCCTTTATTGAACCTTCACAGAGATACATTTTCTAAAGACGAATGAATTTCTAGATTCAATTTATCGTGTTCTTATGTACGTTCAAACTATGGGACTCGTGTACTAAGAACCAATACACACCTTTGACAAGACACCCCCACATTTCAGGCATTAGTAGGAAAATTTCCTACGTACCTACAATTCGTAAGAATTTTATGCGCGTAACCTTATTTAAAAGGTACTTACTTGTCCAAAGTATTGTCTTACCTCACATACTTTGAGGTAGACCCGAGTTTATCAACGTCTTGATATTTATGTTCGGCAACAACGTTTGATCGAGGTGAATACCGTGTCGTACGCTCGAGTACGATACCAACGCTTGCGCAGAAATCACCAATAGGTGTTTCATATTCACTACATCAATCGTTCATAACCGCATTAATCCACGATTAATTTGATTTTTCCTTTTATTCTTATAAAGAATAAACATGTGCTACACGTTAGCACATCTCGTAGAAGCTAACAGATTAGCCTTTACAAATCCATTCGGTTTTTGACCGAAGGCCAGAAACCCGAATCAGTGCTTCCAGAAATTGAAGCACGAATCAGTGCTTAGTAATGAAGCACGAAACATGCTATACCAAGCACGAATCATTGCTCCCAAACTAACGCGCCGATTCCAAAGCAATCTCTATTGCTTTAAATTATAAACTCATAGAAACATTCGGTTGCTTAATTTATAATTCCAGTGCTACCTAGCACAAGGATTATTAGCTAATTACACAATTAGCCAAAAACCTCCTTTCGTGCTAATCACATAACACTTTTACAACGCTAAATTTAATTAGCCACATACGAAAGGTTTAAGCTAAGTAGATTAGCATTAAGACCAATCATAATCTAGCACCTTTATTGCTATTACCAAAGCACCAAATGCTTAAGTTTTCAACACCTAAAGGTGCAGCCACCAAGTGGCCGAAAGTACCTAATTAGGCACTCTACCTAGTGCTTAATAGCACTCTTACAGTGGTTTAATTTGCACTTCAAAGTGCCAAATTAAATTGCACTTTCCATTAGTGCTACAAAAGCACTATTCACCAAAACACAATTTGTCTCAAATTAAATATACTAGTATAATTTGGAATTTTTGATCAAGTAAAATATAACACAATTAACAAGAACAAATCAACCAAATTTTCTGACTAGTCGAATCAAGCTTATATAATCGTTCTCAGAATATTAATTAAAATATTCAACACTTGAGCTGTGACACTCACGATTATATAGCTATCCCAATTTTTGACAAATTGATCCTTGAAATCCTTATCGTTCTACATGAACCAGAACCGAAGTCCTATTACGGGATTTCAACCATGTAACACGCTAGTTACATTTCTTTCCGGCCGTTAAGCCATTTAGCATTTTCCACATAATGCTACGTGATGCATTACGCACCCATATTGAATCATTTCATACATTTGACATTATTCTAGCAAATAATTTGTATGTACTAAGATTCAACTCAATGGAACAATTATATTTTTATTCAAATAAAAATATTACAAGGATACTACAATATTTATTCCACAAATAAATAAATAGGAAAATACATTGGAAACAAATTCCTTATTCCTATTTCGTAGAAATCCTTCAACCCGTGTGCCTTGTTCCATTTTCCAATCGTCCACTCCACGAAGGGTGGTCCATAGCGCACATCGGGGGTACCTCGGTTGTGACCTCACTCGTCCAACCATCCACATGTTTTAAACATAACGAAATTGTCCTCAACCTTTTCACCAGGATGACGGTTCGCTTTGTAGTGGCATTTCTCCTTCTTCTCGTAATCTTCTTGAAAGCTAAGCTTCCGCTTGAGTTTCTTTCGATTACGGTTGAAATCATTGGTAACACTACCATAGTCCTCCGACCATGTAGTCATTACACCATCATAGGATCCTTCATGGCTTTTAGCTGATCCGTTAGACAACACAATAGGTACCAATTGTGTGCCATTAGCCACAGGTCTACCGGATCGTGAACCAAAGTTTTCCGGAGCACCATCATGTGTCTTTGCAACTCCCATGGAAATATTATTTTCTACGTTGCCGCCGTCAACCGGCATCACAAAATGTTCAACATCATTGCCGTTCTGACCATTTGAATGTGCACCTCTGGCAACATTCACAGATCCAACACTTTTGGAATCCATCGACTTGTTCATTATCAAAGTAAATAAGGTTTTAAGATTGTTGGTGATAATGAACCAAAAATCGATTTAATATCCCTTAAAATAATATTTATATATATACACACGAAATATATATAAAATATTATTGGATATATATATATATATATATATATATATATATTCGGAATATATATATACACACAAATATATATAAAACGGATCCAAAGGTTATATATACGTATATATCTACGAGAAAGATATAACAATATATATCAACCAAAAGGAACTTATAATCCTTAGATTATAACTCCAAGTCAACAAGAAAGAATGGATTTTTGCTTAGAGGATAATCCAAAAACAAGAAAGAAGGAGAGGAAGAAAGAAATGTACGAGTTAGGCAAGGTGCCTTTCTTTCCTAAAAACCTTATTTGCCACCTCCCAAAAGTGCTAGGAGCGTTGTGGCCTAGGTTTCCGAGGATAAAACGTACAACGGTTCGACGTTTGATCACCCAAACTAGCGAACCCGGCGAACTAGAGCACGGGCAAAACACAGTAGCAAGAAAGAAGAAGTAGGAGAAAAGTTTTTGAGAAGGAAAAAATCTTATCTTTGTGTGTTGTGTACTCTCGTGTTCTTCCCTCACTTGTTGTAAATCACTTGCTCCTACTACCTCTTCTTATATAGGAATTGGAGTACTAAATAGCATTTAGTAGGCATTCATGGCACGTTGGTAACATCTGAAACAGCTGGTCATTAGTGCAAGTTTAATTCAAAATTCAAAATGAATTAATACAGAGATTAATTCCTGTAACGGATGAATTAAATCTCCACTGTCCAGAAACAGCTCTGGTAGACCGAAGTGCTGTTCAGCCGCAGCGCACGAGAGCAACTCTCGTGCTGCATGCTCTCGGCCAGGCCGCAGCGCACGAGAGCAACTCTCGTGTTGCTTGGTCTCGGCCAGCGCACGAGAGAGCAACTCTCGTGTTGCTCTCTGTTCGGCCTAATGCTCTCGGCCCAGGTCGAACCCAGGCTTTCAAGTGGCTTAGAGTTTGGAAAACTGATACCGAAAGTTGGCATAACTCAGCCCGCAAGGCCAGCCAATTTCCGGACGACATTCGTGCCCGCAGGTGCCGGCGCACACGAGCTCGTGCTTGAATCAAGCCTTTTCGATCTCCGGCGCACATGAGCTCGAGCTTGAATCAAGCCTTTTCGATCTCGTTTCTAGTTGGAATTTGATTTGCACCCCCCGCGCGAGAGAGCCTCTATGCTATACAATTCTACAAGCTTCAAAAGAGCCCTTGTATAAATGGGGGGTGAAATCCTCTTTCCAAACCAATGTGGGACAAAGCTCACTTTTCCCTTCATTTTTCCAACTCAATGGGTCTACTTTGAGAATTAATATCTCATTCACCCATTATCCGTTTTGAGCGTACAATATATCAATCTCTTCGTCTCACTACGAAGAACCCGAATCCACTTTGACCCGACCCAAATCAGAAGTGGACCCCACTGATAATTTTACCACAAAATAGCCACTTAATATGACATTTTATGCCATTTTAAGCTATTTTTTCCAATAGTTATCTTGAACTTCCTCTTTTAATTGTCTTAATAAAATTTTTAATTTAGGGTTTTTGGAGATATGAATTTTAAGTTTGCTTAGCATATTGATGACTTCTTCAGTTCCCATAATATGCTTCACATATGATCAATTTACTTTTTAATTCTATTACCTCTAGGCAAATAAAAACATTTAATAGCCTTGGTGATGGTCAGTGGTGAATTGAATTTTTTTGGCTATATAAAAATACTTAAAAAAAAACCCTTATATATAAGTATTATACATTCAAGAATTGTATTGAAAAATTTAATTATCAAGATTTTTTTAGACGGATATTTTTTTTTTTAAAAAATTCCTCATTTCAAAAATTGTAAAAATGAATGTAAAGTTTATTTTGTGATTTAAGTAATTTTTAAAATATTTTTATACCTATAATTTTTTGAAACTTTAATAGTTTGATGAGAATAGATGACATTTAGAAGAAAATATAATTTGGAACATGGAGCTTTTTCCAGGAAAAACTTACAAGATATATAAGGGACCTCAAGACCAACTATGCTAGAATTAAGATCATCTAAGATAAGGGATAGTCTATCTGAATTGGAGATGGATGGAGGCGGTATTTCACTTGGGTATTTTATCCACCTTAAGAATTTGTAAGGGGGTTAAATGTTCCTTATTGTGTAGTTTCTGGGAGTAAAATTGACGTTACACAAATTAAAATGGTAATAGATCCCATCGCTTATTTTATTTTTATTTTATTCTTTTAAATTCTTTATATGTGAATAGTGTGATAAATGTCATATTTCCTCCATAATTGAGGTTGTAGCTCATATAATCTGAATCTGAATCTGAATCTTACATCCATGTAATTCAGTTGGTAGATGTTTCGACATTGAAGAGAGAAGTTGCAGAAGGTGTAGACCTAATGGTTGTCAGGGAACTTACAGAAGGTTAGTTTAGGTGGTCTAAACAATCATAATTTGATTTCGTCCTGACAGTTCTAATATCTTATTTACATCTATTTGTTGAAAACATCTGTTGCCCACTTGACCTGATTATTATAATCTGGTGACAGGTATTTATTTTGGCAAACCAAGGGGTTTTGGTACAAATGAAAATGGTGAGGAAATTGGTTTCAATACTGAGATTTATGCAACTTATGAGGTACACTTTCTGATCTAAAAAAAATCATGTTGCCTTCCCCTCCAAATCCAAAAAAAAAAAAAAAAACAGTTAGGCGTCATTCTTTCATTACAGTTGTAGGTTTAGTCCACTTAAATATGTTCCCATTTGTTGCAAATTGATGTTTGGATAAGGAGTTTTCATTGTCTTTATCAGTGTAATACTTTTTTCAGAATTTTATTAAAATAACACTCTTTTTGCACTTCACAATTTGGATATTCACATACTTTTGGCACCATATTTTCTATTGGACTTTTTTTGGGCAATCTTTTGGAATCTGATGTGAGATTCTCTTGCCAGGTAGAACGTATTGCTCATGTAGCATTTGAAACTGCACGAAAACGTCGAGGAAAACTCTGTTCTGTTGATAAAGCAAATGTGTTGGAGGTATATTTGATAATTGATAACAAAGTAGTTTTTATTTGTTTGTATACCCCTCTTTTGTTTCCCCCTCCACATAGACCATGCTTACATGCATAGTCTGGTAGACTAACTTATGTTTTATTCAATATTTTGCTTTAAGCAAATAAGAGTTCAAAAGGATTATGTACCATCAAGGACAGTTGTGCAGTGTCACAAATGTCAATGGACACTGAAAAATTCATATTATAGATTATATAATAAAAGCGTGAAGATAGACTCCACTAATATGCCTTTTGTTGTTTACTTTCTGCTCTTTTTCTTTCACCCCTTCAGAGTTTTCCCTTTCTCTTTACTTATCCACTTTGTTAGAGTTTCATTCATGTCACTAGTGCTAACCATTTCTCTTTTGGATAGGTGGAGATTTGATGCCACTTTGTTAGACTATTTCTTTTCTTTTATAACCAAACCACACTTTGTAAATGTATTAGTTGTTTGCTTGTAATTATAACATACATAATCATGCTATAAATGTAATATGATGATATAAAACTGAACACTGATATATTGCAAGAGCTGCTCCGATGGTTCTTCACTTTGCACTTGTATCTTTACAATATATTTCACTAGAAATGAATTGAGGACAAAATGTGAGAATGGATGGGCCTCACTCTTGATATTTTCCAGGCCTCTATGCATTGGAGAAGAATTGTTTCAAAGTTGTCCAAAGAGTATCCTGATGTTGACCTTTCACATATGTATGCGGACAATGCTGCCATGCAGCTTATTCGCAATCCAAAGCAGTTTTTTTTTTTTTTTAAATAAATACAAACCCTTACAAATTTTAATATAAATCTTGATTTTCATCTTGTTTGAGATAGATTATGAAAAAAGAGTTATAATTGTAATTAGATTATTGCAGTTTGATACGTGTTGAAACCCTAGGTCCTTTTAGAAATAGGCCCATTAGGTTAATAGCATATTCCTATTTAAATAGTAGATGTTTGTACAGTTCTGTTGAGCAGAATACAATGAATCTTTCTACTATTCAACATGGTATCAGAGCCTAAACCCTAAATAATAATTCTCCTTTCTTTCCCGCCGCCGCCACCGGAGTTCACGGCCGCCGCTACTGTTTTTTGCTTTCGGACATCTGCCTGGTGGTTCTTCTCCCAAACCAAGACCACAGGCCTCACCGGAGCCTCGTCGCGAGCCAGAGCCCGAAGTCCGGTTGCCGTCTGCTGCCGCACGCGCCGCCGCCGTCGCCGAGACCTGCCACTGTTTTCCGGCCAGATCTGCCTGTACCGACCTCCGATTGTGACAACGTTACCACCGTTGGATTTGTCTTGAGAAAACACTTTAGACTGTGTTTTCCGTTTTCTCATCTCTGCCGGTCAACTCGCCGGTCAACGGTCAACTCGCCGGTCAACCATCCTTTGAGGCAGTTTTTCCCTTTCCTTTTGAATAATATTATGGCTTCATCTCTCGCCGTTGGTACCTCTTCTTTGTTGTGTCTTTCTCAAGCTAGTAACACAAATACTTGGATTCTAGACACAGGTGCCTCAGACCATATTTCTGGTAACCTATCCCTTATGACTAACGTCACAAAGTCTAAGGCTTTGCCCATGGTTACCTTAGCTAATGGCAATCAAACACCAGCTGCCGGTGTTGGTCAGGCTCATCCTATGTCATCTTTCCCTTTAAAATCAGTTTTATATGTTCCTAATAGTCCTTTCAACCTTATCTCTGAGAGTAAAATCACCCGTACCCTTAATTGTTCTGTAACCTTTTGTGCGGATTCGGTTGTTGTGCAGGACCGTAGTACGGGGAAGGTGATTGGCACTGGGATTGAGTCACAAGGCCTCTATTACCTCCGTGGTGGTGATCTTGCTGCTTATGCTTCTACAGATTCTCACTTGCTTCTCCATAGTCGTTTGGGCCACCCTAGTCTCTCCAAACTTCGACGGATGGTTCCAGGTTTATCTATAGAGTCATTAGATTGTGAGTCGTGTCACCTTGGAAAGCAATCACGTAAGTCCTTTCCACGGAGAGTCAATAATCGGGCTGCGTCTCTTTTTGATTTAGTCCATACTGATGTTTGGGGTCCATGTCGTGTCAATTCTACTTTGGGGTTTCGTTACTTTGTCACTTTTACAGATGATTATTCTAGGTGTACTTGGTTGTTCCTTATGAAAGATCGTTCTGAGTTATTCCAGATTTTTCAAAATTTTTGTGTTGAAATACAAACTCAATTTGGTAAACCCATTCGTGTTCTGCGTAGTGACAATGCTAAAGAATATCTCTCTAACCCCTTTCAATCCTATATGACTTCTCGGGGTATGTTACACCAACGGTCGTGTGTTTACACACCTCAGCAGAATGGGGTGGCTGAGCATAAGAATCGACATTTAGTTGAAATTGCTCGCACTATGTTAGTTCATTCTCATGTTCCTCATCATTTTTGGGCTGATGCTATCCTTATTGCGTGTTACTTGATAAATCGCATGCCATCCTCAGTCCTAAACAATGAAACCCCATATTCCATTGTGTATCCTTCGGTTGATCTTTTCCTTCTTCCACCTCGGGTTTTTGGGTGTGTTTGTTTTGTTCATGACATGACTCCTGGGCGTTCGAAATTGGCCCCTAAAGCTGTCAAGTGTGTTTTCTTAGGTTATTCCCGGCTCCAAAAGGGTTATCGGTGTTATTCTCCAGAACTTAATCGTCGTTTTGTGTCTGCTGATGTCACCTTTATTGAGTCTACTTCTTTTTTCTAGCCCACACCAGGTAACGCAGTCTCTATTTCAGAGGTTCTCCCTCTTCCTTATCTTGGTTCACTTCCTCTTGTTCAAGATCATAATCCTCCAACTGCTCCTGACCGCCCCCTTCAAGTCTACCATCGCCGTCCTCGCCCCGTGTCTGTTGAGGCTCCTGTTGACTCACCCATGCCACCCGATCCTCCTCCGGCTGCGGTTCCACCACTTCAATTGCAATCAGACGCTGATCCCACTGAAGCACCCATTGCTATACGGAAAGGTACACGTTCTACTCGTAACCCTCATCCTATATATACCTTTTTGAGTTATCATCGTGTATCTTCTCTTTACTTTGCCTTCCTTTCTCACCTTTTCTTCTGTGTCTATACCTAAATCCACTCGTGAGGCCCTCTTGGATCCCGATTGGCGCCAAGCCATGTTCACTGAGATGGAGGCCCTGGAGTCTAGTGGCACATGGGAGTTGGTTCCCCTCCCTCTTGGTAAAACTGTTGTTGGTTGTAGGTGGATTTATACTGTGAAGGTGGGCCCTGATGGCAAGATTGATCGCCTTAAGGCACGACTGGTGGCAAAAGGCTACACTCAAATTTTTGGTCTGGATTACACTGATACTTTTTCTCCTGTAGCTAAAATTGCATCAGTTCGATTACTTTTATCTTTGGCAGCAATCAATCATTGGGATTTACACCAATTGGATATCAAGAATGCTTTTCTACATGGCGATCTTCAAGAGGAGGTTTATATGGAGCAACCACCTGGGTTTGTTGCTCAGGGGGAGCCTGGTCTGGTATGTAAACTTCGTCGTTCCTTGTATGGTTTGAAGCAATCTCCACGGGCTTGGTTTGGAAGATTTAGCTCTGTGGTATGTGAGTTTGGTATGACTAGAAGTGAAGTTGATCATTCTGTTTTCTATCGTCATTCTAATGGGAAATGCATATACCTTGTAGTATATGTGGATGACATTGTTATTACAGGGAGTGATCAAGAGGGCATATCTCAGTTGAAAGAGTATCTCTTCAGTCGATTTCAGACTAAGGATTTGGGTAAGCTGAAATACTTTCTTGGAATTGAAGTAGCCCAGTCTAGTAGTGGTATTGTCATTTCTCAAAGAAAGTATGCACTGGATATTTTAGAAGAAACTGGCATGTTGGATTGTAGACCGGTGGATAATCCAATGGATCCGAATGTTAAACTCCTACTAGGACAGGGGGAGCCATTACTTGACCGAGAACGATATAGGAGACTAATTGGAAAATTGAATTATCTCACAATCACACGACCATATATCTCTTTTGCAGTTAGTGTGTTGAGTCAGTTTCTTGAGAATCCTTGTGATACTCATTGGGATGCTGCTGTTCGGGTTCTAAGGTATATCAAGAGAGCACCAGGACAAGGTTTACTATATGAAGATAGAGGACATGCTCAGGTTGTTGGGTATTCTGATGCAGATTGGGTTGGTTGTCCGTTTGACCGACGCTCTACTTCAGGTTATTGTGTACTCATTGATGGTAATCTCATATCTTGGAAAAGTAAGAAGCAAGATGTTGTTGCCAGGTCCAGTGCTGAAGCTGAATACCGAGCCATGGCCCTTGTCACGTGTGAGCTTATGTGGCTGAAGCACTTACTACAAGAGTCGCAATGTGGCAAGGTTGCTCAAATGACATTGATATGTGACAACCAAGCAGCTCTACATATTGCCTCAAATTCAGTTTATCATGAGATAACCAAACATATTGAGGTTGATTGTCACTTCATTAGAGAGAAGATTGTGTCAGGGTGTATCAAAACAAGCTTTGTCAACTCTGCAGATCAATTGGCTGATATTTTGACAAAACCCCTTAGAGCTCCTAGGGTTGAGTATATTTGTAACAAGCTTGGAGCATATGATTTATACTCTCCAGCTTGAGGGGGAGTGTTGAAACCCTAGGTCCTTTTAGAAATAGGCCCATTAGGTTAATAACATATTCCTATTTAAATAGTAGATGTTTGTACAGTTCTGTTGAGCAGAATACAATGAATCTTTCTACTATTCAACAATACGATTGTAGCAAACAATATATTTGGTGATATTCTATCTAATGAAGCTTCAATGATTACTGGAAGTATTGGTATGCTTCCATCTGCCAGTGTTGGAGAATCGGTATAATCACCTCATCTGCATTTCTCTTTAAATGTAATGTCTGGGTTTTCTATTGAATTTCTTTATGTTCGGAATTGTTGGGTGTAGGGACCTGGACTCTTTGAGCCAATACATGGTTCTACTCCTAATATTGCCGGACAGGTTGGTTGGTTGGTTGGGTTTAGACTATTTCACTCACATTACAATGAAGATCAGATCTGAGTATTTACCTCATCTATCTATCATCTATCTTTCTTGGCTTGGCTAACATGGGGGTTTCAACATGATGTAGGATAAAGCAAATCCTTTAGCAACAGTGCTTAGTGCTGCTATGCTTCTCAAATATGGCCTAGGAGAGGAGAAGGCTGCTCACAGGATTGAGGCAGCTGTTTCGGACACTTTAAATCAAGGGTTTCGCACTGGTGACATATATTTTGTTGGGCCTGTATGTATGCATTTTATTCTTTTTTTTTTTGGATGACGAGGGAAATCCCACAACCCTTTTTAGGTTACCCATAGCTGACCGGCTCAAACCAATAGGGCAAGGATTCAAACTTGTGACCTTGTGGTTACCCCTCCACCTCTATTTTTGCTTTGGATATTTGTGGTAGTAAAAAAATGTGTTCAATTTTCCTGGTTATACGCCATGACTTCATTTGCCATCTTTGAGATTGAATTTCTTGGTAGCTGGATTTAAAATATATATGGGATGGAAGTCAGAAATTTTATACTTCCCTCCCTTATGGCCAGTTGTTAACTTGCGTCCTGCATGCATCCACACCAAGAGAAACCGATTAGGCATGTTCTTTTATTCCCCATCGGTATAATTAATTTGACAAATGTTCTTTTAAAAAGCTTCAAGGCCGGGTAATCATGCCTGCCCTTCATTGACCGACCTTAGTTACCTATATTTCCCGGCCTGTAACATTGATTGATGATTAAGGTTGGCATGTTTCTTTTAGAAATTAGTGGGGTGCAAGGAAATGGGTGAACAAGTGCTGAAGTCAATAGAAGGAGGGCAAGTGGGCTGATCATGAACGAGCTTCTTAATTCAAGGAGGTGGACGCTTTTTTGAAGGTGAATGCATGTATTTTTTTTCTAATTATAATTATTGGTATCAAGTGTCAAATGAGTTCTCATACTAAACAAAATGTAATGAACAACTTAAACTAAAAACATTCTGCAATTTTGTGTATAAAAGAAAAGGCTAAAGTGTCATTCTGCACCATGAACCATAAACGATTCTTCATGCCGCACCTTGATCTTTCATAAGTGCTATTTTGATTCACAAATCATAAAAAAAATTTCACCTAGACCTTTTTGCTGGTTGACATCAAGTTACAGGTTATAATATGCTGATGTGGATGTGTTTTTTGATTGACTTATTTAAATAGGTATTAAAAAATGACATGGCAGTCATTTTTGACTTGTTCCTCACCTTCTTCGCCGTCAGCTCCGACGACTTGTCCTTGTCTTCTCCGCCGCCCCCGCTCGACTCCACCTGCCCCGTCGGCCACCAAGATCCATTGCTGCTCCACATTGTTGCTAGGAGAAGAGGAAGGCCGGATGAGAGGTCCAGCCGCGCCACTTCCGAGTTCCGCTACCGCCACCGCCGGAAGTTGCCAGCCTGCTCTACTTCCACCCAGACTGCCGACCTGCTACTTTTTCTACGCCTGTTACGCTGGAGTGTTGGAGGAAAGGACAACTCACCGGAAGACAGGGGAGAGGAAACCACCCCTTCCGCCAAGCTTCGTCGAACCCGTAACGGCTGCTGCTGCTTCACGCTCTCGGTACCGATCAAGAGGGAAGGGAAAATGGATGAAGAATGTGGAGGCTTTACATGACGGGGAGTGGGAATAGAGTGGGTACTAATTCTAACATTTGTAGTGCTCCTTGTTCTACTCTTTTCACCTTTTGGCAGCCCAAAAAGAAAGCTCATGGAGTACAACTAATGCAACAACTCCATTGTTAAATGACCCTGAGAAATTGGCAGCATGAAATTTCATGGATGTTAAAAAAAGTGTCTGTAACACCCCCCAAAACAAGCTATATAAAAAGCCTTAACACATGCAGATATCACAACAAAATACTAGCACAGCGGAAGATAAAAGGGTAACTGGATAAAAGTAAATCCAAAACTGGGGTGTTATGCCACGTTTACCAACAATGATAAACGCTACGGCTAAATCTGCATGGTATACAACTATCCCAAACTCATAAGTCTATCACTACATCGGCTCACAGGCCGTAAAACCAACAAAAGGTACTATACTATCGGGCACTAGACTCCGCTCTCGTCTAGACATCACCTGAAAGATCACAAATAAACATGGGACGACGCCCGGTCAGCGAATTATGCTGGTAACCCACCAATACATGTGAAATAACATAAATAGGTAAGATATAAGTTGTAAAACCATTTTCGAAACGGAATATATATATATATATATATATATATATATATATATATATATATATATATATATATATATATATATATATATATATATATATATATATATAAGTGTAAAACCAAGAGTCAAAGAGAAGAACACACAACACCGGCTACAATAGCCCTCGTGACATCACCCATCACGAGTTGATATGCCTGCCTTATACCCGGTTCCAACCTTATGGCTACCCCCAACCTTGTTTCTTCTTTCCAACCATTACCTCCAGGACTCCTGTACTTCTTAGTCCAACCTTTTCCCTCCGGGACCGTCGTCCTCCACCAACGACCTCCAACGAGACCACCAATTTTATAGTACACGAGGTACCGTACACACACACGGCAACACATGCCTTCCCAAGAAATACGTGGACCCATCACTCATGCCACAACTCCATAATCACGTCACAACCACCACGAAGACCGCTGCAATACCTTGGTGACTAGTGTCCCATACCACTAATCGTGCAATTCAGGTAGAGCCACACACACCACACCTCAACAGGAATCAATTAACGGATTACAACGAAGGTATGAAACATACTCAATCAAGGAATGGAACACAGTCCAACAACAACAACGATGAATAACACTAGTTATCATCAACCAATAAGAAGGTAAAAACAACACACACGCTAGCATTAAAACACCGAACTAGCATGCTTATCAAACGGGTAAACCAAACGTAGTTCCGAAGAACACACAAGACTCATCACGGTTTAACGAAGCACAATGTTGAACACTTAGCATGATTCAAGACACAAAAGACCTACATGGATACCTACCACATAGTTCTAGACATACGAAACATCAAGAAGACACTCAAATAGTTCCACAAAAGAACATCGGGAAATCAAAAGACCAAATACCGAGTCAAAAGAATCACGGGGAACAAATCCCATCATAATACCGAAGTGTTCCCCGCGGAAGGACCCACGGGTAGGCCCCTACCCGTGGTTCCGCCCGCAGGTACACTACCCACGAGGCCATGTACCTGCGGGTGGGCGGCGGGTAGGGCTCTGCCCGTCGTTCCGCCCGCGGGTACATCCCTGTGTCCAAAAATAATCCCTTCGGGGATTTTCAACTCCAAGCTCAAATTCAAGTCCAAAACATGCCAAATCTCACCAAATACAACAAAATGACTTGAATCAAAGGAAATGCCAAGCAATGGCTCACAAGAACCCTAAACACAAGCTCTAGATATGCATTTTCACAAGACAAATGCATAAACACTCACATTTCATAGCAAAACACAAGTAGAATCCAAGAAATCACATATAGGTAAGCAAAATAGGTTTTGTAGAGAATGGGTTACCTCTTGTAGACTAAAAGACTTCACTTTACACCTCAACAAGCTCCCCACAAGGCTCACTTTCCAAACCCACTTCAAGAACAAACCAAAAGATCATAAAGATCCTACTTTTAAGAAAAAGACACCTAAGATGGAACCAAAAACACAAGATGGACTTAGATCTTGCCCTCCTAGATGCCCAAATAGGTGAAAGGTTGAATCTTGGAAGCAACTCTTGAAGTCTTGGCATGGTCTCAACTTAGCTTGGAGGAAAAACAACTCACCTTTCTAGAGAGAAGGTAGAGCTAAATTTTAGAAAGTGTAAGGTGTGAAATGAAGATGTCTTCTAGGTTAGGTTACAATACTAACACTTGGTGAAAGGTCAAGAATACCCTTACAACTTTAGAAAGTGTAAGGAACAAGGGAACTCCCTTCAAAGCTCAAGGTACAACTTGACTTTGGAGTTGACTAGTTAAATACTAGTCCCCAACTATTAAATTTCAGGATTTTAGAAATTAATTCCTCAATTGAAATAGGTTTAATTACTCAATTAATCCATGAATTGAATGTGGATTTTTGGGTGTCACAGTGTCCATCGATGCAATAAAACGCAAGGGTAGCTCTATGCCGCAGGTTGTAGCAGAAATTAATCTATTCACTATGCAGTACGTATTTGGAATTTTCTATGTCGTCTTGGAGAAGGATATCTCTTGGACATTTTTCTGCTCAGAAGAGGTTGCCCAAGGCCAGTTTTCATCGCTCTCACACTAGCAGTCTTGCAGCCATGAATGCTGGCCATATCACCATTGCCTCTGGTTTCCCTTTAAATTTATACGTGGGTTCCATAGTAGTTGGCATTTGCTATGGTTCACAATGGTCATTGATGCCTACCATAACCAAAGAGATATTCTGAGTTCTGCATATGGGTACTATATTCAATATAATTTCCATAGCCAGTCCTGTTGGGTCATATATATATATATATATATATATATATATATATATATTTTGTTATCAATTCTCTCTCATTTCATATACATAATAAACTGCACTATCGTTTGAATTTACAGATGCATGTAAAACGGAAAACATCATGCCGGTGCCGCCACTTCTCTTTCTTCTTCCTCCAGATTTTCTTGATTTTCCGTCGAGGATGCCGTCATTGTCGCCGTGGCTGCGATAGAGGAACTGGTGTTGTCGCCATAGTCGAAGAACAGGCGATCGGACCTCACCGCGGTCGAAGAACAGGCGGTCGACATAAGCACATTGAAAAAATGAGATGAAAGTAGGAATTGACTTTAATAAAAGGTCCACATCAGCACATTTCCTGTGCTATGTCATCAAGGTAACAGGGAAACTTGTAAAAAACTCTAGGTGAATTATTATTATTTTTTTTATCGTTTATGGATCAAAACAGCACTTATGAAAGTTCAGGGTGCGGCATGAAGAATCGCTTATGGTTCATGGTGCGGAATGACACTTTAGCCAAAAGAAAATTATGTATTAATAAGATAAAGTTAACTGGTTATCATCTCTTCCAAGCAACTTAGCATGCATGCATCCATTCTCCAGATCGACAGGCTACCAGTTCGATCAAAATGGGAAGTTATTACTAGGGTTATAGAATCCACTTTGTATGTACACTTGACTTCTATACCTAATCATCAATGCCATGTCTGTAAGACTGCACCAGTGCACCCTATTCTTCTCCTTATCAATCATTCTTTCTTTAGTGTAGCTTTTGTTCGCGGCTATTGGTCCTGGGAATTGTGAGTGAGTTTTGGTTGTCGAGTCAAAAGTCAACATTGATTTGCGGTCTGTAAACCAATTAACTGTGCCTCTTATACATAAGTGGTTGATGGTCGAAAATTGTGATTTTTTTTCCTCAGTGGTTTGAAAATCAAGAAATTATCAAAACCTTAATTTAACATTACTAAAATTTTCTTTTGAGGGAATTGCATTGTTATATAATGTCAAATACTTTGCAAGAATTTCAGTGTGCGTGGGTATGCAAAGCTGCTGATTGTACATTTTGTTTGAGGCATTTCTGTAGGGGCTGCTCCTACCGCATATTCCTAGAGCGCTTCACACTTAGTTTTATTTAATATATCTCTAACCTATTTAGTATTCTTGGTTATTATTGTAACTTTGAGCCTATTCAGTTGTATATTTCCAATTGTATGTTTTCTTTCTTGTTCATTTTTACTCAAGTCTTTTAATTTGTATTGAACACATATATTAGTGAGTGAAAGATTCTTTCTCCAGTTCTGTCTTACGTATTCTATTTTACTTTAAAAAAATAAATAAAATTGATATGTGATATGTTACTAGTTCTATCTTTTAATTGATTGCATTCACAAATAATATATATATATATATATATATATATATATATATATATATATATATATATATATATATATATATATATATATATATATAGTACGTAATATGTATTCTATATATTATATATATTATATATTTATATATTATATATAAAAAGAACTAATTATTAGATAATATTAAATAACTAATGCAAAATTATTATAAAGATGTACCTAAAATATGAGTGTAAAATATGCCTATCAAATTCCCCCACACTAGAACATTTGCTTGTCCCCAAGCAAACATATTTTTTGCGAAATAAATTAAAAAGAAATTCTCAAAACTCATAACATATCATGAACAATAATCTGAAGCACCCTGCAATTAATAAGTAAGTCCTCACAGGAATATCACTCATTACTCAAGTGTTTGATGGGTATAAATTTCACTCAAGTTCATTCCTATAAAATTGTTCTACCATAGGCTTGCATATCTTTTCAATCACCACTACAAGAGTCATGTATGACACAAATCATAAGGACTTTCCAAGGTTGTAATGGGGCTAAGGTTAAGGTAGGGAATATTTAGGAAAATAGCTCAAATATAACTTTCAAACTAGAGGAGCAAAATATATGCAAATAATCCAAGATACTTGCTCAACACCCTCAATTTCCATTCAAAAACACATCCTATTGAGGCTCCAACATGACTATCATTCACAAAAGTATAGAATTCTTCCTCAGTTTTTTACCAGAATTTTTCCTTATTTCATTTATGAG